GGCTCCTTTGCAGACCCGCTCAGGTCCTGCACTTAATGCTTGCTTCTTCCTCGAAAGGCATAGATGCCTTCCTTTGGCCAAAATGAAAGCCCACCACGGCTTCCCACCCTTTCTACCAGAAGGAACCGCTAGCCTGCGTGGCTGACAGCAGCAGAGGTTGCTTGTTTTTGGTTACATTTCCTGAAGTCACCTCCGACTTATGGCGACCCCACGAAGGAGCAATCTCTGAAATGTCCCCTGCTTTTCCCTGACTGGAGAGTCTCATCTTCCAGCACTATCACTAATTTAATTTTGCACTTCCCAGGCATTTTGTTGCTTCCAACTCATGGCAACCCTATGAATTAGCAACTGTCCTCAACCACCCTGCTCAGCTCTTCCAAAGAAGAATTTACGGAATCAGTAAATCTCATGTTTGGTCTTCCTCTTTTCCTGCTGCCTTCAATTTTTACCCAACACTATTGTCTTTTCCAGTAAACTTTGTAATCCAGAATAAATCAGTTTTTGGAGCTATGTTCTCTCCTCTGCCATCTTTGTAGTGTTTATTAAAGAAAGATGTTCACTGTGTCTTCTTCTCAACCTGCCCTTATCACCTTCCAAAGTCTCTCAGCTGTTTTACACAACAGCCACAATCCTGTTGCTTAGTGTAATAAATTGCATTATAGCAGGCCCATTTGAATCAATGGAACTTGCAGAGGAGTTGACTCATCAAATCCCCATTGATTCAGTGGGCCTATATTGGTGCAATTAAATATGGAGAGCCATTGGATTTTGGCCCCTGTCTCACAACCGCACAGAGGTAGCAACACCATAAGCGACATTTCTGAACTTTGCAAGACCTGTCCTCATTTTTGGTACCATCAGATCTGATGAAGCGTTCAGGAGCCTCTGGACGCTCAGCTCACTTTGGACCTGCTTGGGTAGCATTTTGAGGTCGGGGGTACGGTGGTCTTTCCCTTGTTCTGTTTGCTCGTGGCCTTGTCGAAGAAGGCTCTCTCAGCCTCTGTCCAGATAGAAGAAGCCTTGCAGAAATCTCCCTTTCTTGTCCTTCCCTTCTCTCCAAGCCTTAACCCAAAGCATCGAACCCCTGGCACGGGATGGAGAGGCGAGAGAGGACACACACCCTCAGGCCCTCAAGAGGAAGGTGTTGCTTGATCAGCCAGGTATCTTGCTAAATAATTCATTTTTGGTGAGGCCAGATGCTTCCACCTGGCCCACCCTCATGCGTATTATTGCCTTTGGACGCGACTGCTTGCTTTGACGTTCTTTGGGAAATCAGACCTCTTCCTGCTTCTTCTCCTTTTCCTTGCCTCCATCTTCCTCTTCCTCCAGAGCTCTCTCTGCAAACAGCTCCGCCACCTGTGGCACACCTGGGATGGGGCAGAGGTGGTGCACCAGGGCTGCCAGGCCAGGTGGGGATGAATGCTTTTTCGAAGGCCTGCCGCTGAATAATTCAGGGGTCCCTCTCTCTTGCTGCTGATGATTTATTCATGCCGGATAGCTCAGTTGCTTGCCTTCCTGCCTTCCACCCCACCTGCGTGTCATGGAAAGTTTCTGGTGGAGCAAAAACAGGTGGCCTGCAAGTCGCCCAGAGTCGGAGGAAGCCCTGCCTGCACCTCCTTTGCCACATCAGAGATTGTTTTTATTCCCCTTTTATTGGAAAAGGGCAGGAGAAGAACAGAATCCATTAATCCTCATTGTCATGAATGCTTGTCCCAGGGGTTGCGGTGTCCTAGATTACAGTAGTTTAAACAAGGAGAAACCAGATCAAGGTTATAGTCCTCATTCTTTGGCTTCACAAAGCGCTCTTGCTGTTCCCACTTGTCTTCCAATGAATAAAGTTTTAAAGAGAGAGAGAGAGAGAGAGATAGGACTTAGCAGAAGCGGCTGTCCAGAAGAGTTTTAACCACTCCCAGGAAAAAGTTCAGGACCATTTTAATAGCACTCAGCTGAAATTATGAAATAAAGGGTAGCCATGCGGTCCAAAGAAAATCAAATACCAATGCAAAAATAGGCAACACCTTGATACGCCACAACAAAATCATCAAGGCATAAAGGCACACTGCCTCCATCTAATTAGTTAGATGTTGAATTTCTTGTTTGCAGTGGGGGTGAGCACGCTTCAACATGCTCCCCACCCCAAACCCCAAACTCTCTGCATCTAGCAAAAAGCTGATCAAGTAAAAACAAATGAATCAGATGGAGGCAGTGATGCCTATCAGCTGCTTGGGTTCACTTGGTGTGGAGGATGAAGTGGGTGGAATAACCCGGTATGGATGAGACAGCTTGACCCAGCTCTCCTCTCACTTCCTTCGCCATCTCCTTTTCTGAAGGCCTTTTGGCCCCTTCCGCTGGCCTCCTCCTCCTCCCAGACAACCAAATGCCTGGCATTCCAGCGCCGCATCAAGGAGGGGTGTTTTATTTATCTATACAAACAAGCTTCTTCCTTTCCAGGCCCCCAACAGCAGGCCCCGGGACTCCAGGGTAAATCTTTGACAGACCTGCCATCCTCCTCCGCAACCCAGGCCGTTTCACGGGCTGGCGGGTTTGGGGGGGGGGCTTTTGCTCAAGGGATCAAAAAGGCAAGAGGGAGAGAGACAGACAGACAGACAGAAAGAGGAAGTAGAGTGGGGCAGAGCGGCACCCACTGAGAGGCACCGGGGCAGCCAAGCATTGGCCACCAGAGACTGGCTGTCAAAAGGGCTGCTGGAAAGAGCCTCAGGCATCCCTTGATGCCTTTGGGAGGCTCATTCGTTGCTCTGGATGCTACCCGGTCGGATTTAATTGGCGCTCCAGATCCAGCGTTCAAAGGTTATATTCTTGGATTGGTAAATCAATGCATTAGAAAACCAAAACAGCCTCCCCAAGTAGCAGTTGCATGAAAGCGAGAGATCTCTGAGAAAATGATGACACTGCAGTCATTTAGTTACCAAGCATGCCAGGGGTGAAAGTACCCACAGCAACGAAGCAATGGCTTTTAACAAAAAATAATAAAATACAAACTGCAAAATGCAAAAAGTCCTCAAACATCTTGCGACGGCGGAAGGACTCTCCCGCTAGTTAGAGCCTTAACCGTCAGCTGTTCTTGGACTACAACTCCCAGCTGCGCTGGCCAAGATTTCTGGGCCTTGTCGTCCAAGAACATCTCCTATGATTCGGAACCACGGGTCTCGACAAATGGTTCCAAATTCAGACAGGCTCTTTTTTGCCTTGAAAGGGTCTTGACCTTGAAAGCTGTGACAAAATAGTCCAAAGGTTGATGGGAAACGGTTCAAGGCAACCCAAAATGGGGAGAAGGAACAGGGAAATTAAGGCGATGCCTTAGGCTGCCTGCCTTCGCCTGGATCCCTGATTTTGGCCTCTTGATGCCCTCAGATGGAGGCTGGGCACCTGGCGAGGTGCTCCTTTATTCCTTTGGTCTTTGGGTGTGTCTTGTTGCTCCAAAACAAAGATGAGGAAAGAAAGGGGCGGGTTGCTATCTTGCACAAAACTCCGGTGGCTGCTTCCCTGGGTGAGCCTCCTGGGACAAAGGCAAAAGTTATCTCCTTGAAGGCCAGGACTTTTTAAAAAGGAGATTATTCTTTTTTTTTTTAAGAGGGTCTTGCAAAGCCCAGGCCCTTCATTTATCCATTTATTTATTACTTTGATGCATATACCGCCTCATTAGTGTCGAAGCCCTGTTCTGGGAGGTTTACCGACAGTTAAAACAAACTACGCAAAAGTAAATACAACATAAATAACAAACACATGGTCTAAAAACTTAAACAACGGTGCAACCAATTTTTGAGGAGAGGCATAAACCCTTTTCAGAACTATTGCGGATGGATACACCACCCCATTGGCAGATGACATGCAGGCGGGAATGTTTGCAAGCCGGGATGAGAAAAGCCACTGATCATTTTCCAGAGGAGATGGTGGGTGCTTCTCTCTCTCTCTCTTTCTCTCTCCCCCCCCCTCTGTGTATTTGTGTGGACTCACAAAAAGCCGGGATGAGAAAAGCCACTGATCATTTTCCAGAGGAGATAGTGGATGCTTCTCTCTCTCTTTCTCTCTCCCTCCCCCCCCCTCTCTCTGTGTATGTGTGTGGACTCACAAAAGACATGTAGGTCAAGCCTTGTTGGTTTAGGGAGATATCATAAAGAATGAGAAGAATCTGGTCCTGAAGAGCGTAAACAACATTGTTGGATGTGAGATCAAGCATAAACCACACATTGCAATGAGTTCAGAGGAATTTACTCCCACATAAAATGGGTGCTAAGAGTATGTTGCGTCTTCAGCCTCTAAGGATGGGATTGGAGGAAGGGCAACCCCTGCCTTTTGTACTAAAGGATGTTTTTAAAGGCATCGCCTCCCTTCCCTTCCAGCTCATCCCTTCCCTCTAAAAGATGGGTGAAGTGATTCACCAGGAAGAGCTTGCAATTTTACAAGCTAAGCATTTTTTAAAAAAATGTTTACATTCAAGTTGTTCCCAGAGTCCAAGCGCTGAGAAAGGTGGACAAGAAATTCCTGGGTGGGTCTACTCAGAAGCAAGCCGTAGCTGAATTCAGAGGAATCACCAGGAAAAGATGCAGATTATACAGGTTTGCAGGCAGTGAACAGAGACACGCAGTGAGAGCAATGGATCATGCAAAGATGCAACAGGGCACCTCCTCTTCCTGGTGACCTGCTCTCCAAGGTCCCAAGGCCAAGAGAGCTCCCTGCCTAATGGGTGGGGAGGGAGGGAGGGGAGGGAGAGGAGGCAGAGTTTTCCAAAGGAGGAGAATAGCCAAGTCAAAATGATGGAGGGGACAGAGTTGGCGACAGCAAAGCAAAGATATCCCTCACAGGCTCAGCATAGCCCACAGCTGAGAGAGGGAAGACAGGAGGGATTGGACTCTGGCGAGTTGGGGGCCCTGGAGACGAAGAGACCCCAAACGGGGAAGAATCAAGCACACCATCCGGTTTTTGTTTTAATCAGTCAGGTTGTTCTATTTACGTGCATTCAGAAGGGAATGGAAGCAAAATTGACTTTCTTTCTTCTCTTTTAATCCACCACTTTTTGCAAATTACAGTAGGGCCCCTGTAGCAGGGTAGGTGGGTGGGTGAGAACTGTTTCCAAGCACCCCCCCACAGATGCTGAAAAATTGATAATAGTAAACACTGTACATAGCATGGACTCTGGATTCCTCCTGAGGCCAGTCCTGCTAACTTCATCTTTAGAAATACTGTATATATTTCTAGGATTTTGCTTTCAATATTTTTAGACCGTGGATAAGTGACTCAGTGGATACTGATCCCGCGGATAAGGGGGGGCATACAGCATATTTACATGCAAGCCACTGGCATGGTTTGCAGGTCCTTACTTTGCGAGAAAAAAACCCAGCCCTGGAAGAAGATGGGATGGAGGAAGAGTGGGCCAGGCCCAGGCCAGAGACCCAAAGAGCAAGGGATGTCTGAGCCACCTCTAGGCCAGGAGGGGATTCTGGGCATTGTAGTCCAAAGTGAGACTTGCCCAGAATCTCAAAAGGCACAACGCTGGATCTGTCCTTACCCTGGACGTTTGTAAGCAAAGGCAGTTCCAAGAACTTTAATCAGGGGATGTATACAGTAGATTGAAACCTTGCTGCTCTGAGTTCAGATCCTGGGCCAGCGGGGACCCTCATTTGGTACTTTGGATTTGTGGGAGCCAGGTGAGAAAGATGGGAGCAGAATCCGGAAAAACTGTTTTTGGCTTGCAACTCCTGGGATTCCCTAGCCAGCATGGGCACTGGCGAATGGTCCTTGCAAAGTTACAAAAAAAGTAACTTACCCAAGTTTGGGAGCAGGTGGGAAAGAAACAAGTCCTGAATGGCTGCAGCTGCGTTGAGCACCCATGGACCTCCCCCCATCTTCCCTTTCCAGCCTTGGGAACAGAATTGGACTAGATGACCTCTGAGTAGCCCTTTTGGTTGTGCAAAATATACCCGAGGTCCCATCCGCAGCCTTGCTGCCTCCTGAGAAAGCCAAACCTCTGCATGGCTTCCTCTGCAGAACAAGATGGAGTTTGGGGCAGGGCAGGAGAAGGATATTTATGCTGCCCCCACAGAAACACACAGAACCCCCCCAGTGAGTGTGGGGGCCCAGGTGGGCACAAAACCCTTCCCAGCCCTCCATTGAGTCATTGGGACAAACAGAACCCAGGCCTCTGTGAGAGGGTGGAGGAGCTGGGGTACACTTTTCCCGGAGGAGAGGAGATGGAGAGGCGCCCAGAGGACCACCTTCAACTATCTAGGGAGCTTCCACGTGGAAGACGGAGAAGGTTTCTTTGGTTGAGGTTCCAGAGGGAAGGACCCGGAGTCCATGACGAGAAAGGAGCCTTAGGAAGAACTTCTTGGGAATAAAAGACATTGGACGGCGAGAGAAGAACTCCCTGGGAAGGGGACCGACTCTTGCGTCCTGGAGGCTTTTATGCAGAGATGGAGTGACTGTCCGTCTGGGAGGCTTTGGCCATGGGGTTGGACTAGATGTCCTTTGGGTGGACCTTTGCGGCTCTACACTGCTGCAGGACAGGATCCACCCACAGAGAGAGGAGAGAACCTATCCTGGGTGGATCGCTTGGCTTTCACCCTTCCAAACCTCCCGAGCAGCTTTGTCTTCCCAGGGTGGTGCATCCTCGGGGGTGTGAGCGAGACCCGAAGCCATTTGGGGGGCACTGTGGGCTCTGCATGTTTTGGGCTGCCTGTCTTCCAGAGAGTGGTTTCCAAACAGCTGCCCTCCTGGGGAGAACACCAGATTTCAGCCTCCTCGATGTCCATACCCGTTCCTTGGGCACCGGTTTGGACCCAGTATATTTGGATCCAGTTTCCCGGAAGCCAAAAAAAAAACAAAAAAAAACTTGGTTTTCAATTTGAACTGAGATGGACCAGAACAACATTTTAAAAAGAAGGGGTGGAATTAAAATCCAAAGGAAGCCAAGCAGACTCTGTGTGGATCCAGGTCCTCACCTGGACTGGGAGACGGTCCCCATCAGTCCTGTCCGTGGTCAGCCTCACTGTCATCATTCTCTCTTTTGTGGATCTGCCCGCTCTCCCACATCTGAGCCAGGACGCCCCGGCAGCAGATGGCTTTGGTGGACCTCACAACCTGGAAAGAAATCAACCGCCTGATCAGGTGCGTGGTTACAACAGAAGAGCCGTGGGCTTTGTGGTGGGGCAGGCGCAGGCTGACATCTCGGCAGAAGCAACACAGAGCTGTGTGGTGTGTGATAGCCTACGTCTTGAAAATCCACAGTGAGGAAAGACAGGGTTGAACTGAAGACTGATATTGCTTTTATAGGGACACCGAGGCTGTGAGCTTCTGCCTCTCGCCATGTCAGATATTTGTGGGTGGTGGTTTGGTCTCTGGCGATGAAGAGTCATTAGCCTGACAAAATACCCCCTCCCTGTGGAGGGGAAAGCTGCTAGAAGTGGTTTGTGGATCCATCCACCCAGCTACTTCCATTGTGGGGAAGGGAGTTGATTATCCCAACATATGGTCCATCTGGTGTGGTTAGGGTGTTAGTCCAGGACTCAGAAGGCCTGGGTTCAAATCCCTACTCAGCCATGAATTCCACTGGGTGACTTCAGGGCTCTCAAACCCAGCAGTTCAAATAATAATTGTAGAACTGCAGAACTGGAAGGCACCCTATAGTTCAACCCCTCCAGCCCCAGCCAAGGAGGCGTGGCAGATGAATCCAACGCCCAGCCTCTGGCTCTTCAGCCAGGAATGCATTCAAGAATCCACCTCCCTCCATCAGCCCAGATCAAAGACTCTTTTCTGCACTCAGGGAGAAGAGATCCCAAATAAGACATCACTCCAAACGCCCAGATGCTCTCCCTCCCTCCTAGGGGGGAATTTCTCCCTGCAAAGATTTACCTCCGTGTCAATTTCGTCCTCAAGCTCAATGCCGGCATACTAGGGGGAAAAAAGAAAAGAGGAAGGTCACAGAAAAGGAAAAATGGTGGGAAGGTGGACATCACAACTGTTTATGTCCATTAAACGTCTGTGCCAAACCCAGCTGGGAGGGAAGGCCAGCCCTCCCATTATTAAGCAAAGGGAGGTGATTATGGCCTCAGGCAGCAAATGGGAGGGGGTCGGCAGCGGACCGTCTCTGACTGATCCTCTCCTAAGCTCCCACATTGGGCTTCTTTTCGAAGAATCTCAGCCCAGACCCTAGTGCTGTGGATCTGAATGTCTTTTCTTAAGAGTAATTTAGGCCATTTCAGTAATTAGTAAATTGAATCTGATTCAAAGGCCTTATTCCAGTTGTGACTTACTTTAGTACAGTAAGTCTTAACAAGAGTAAGCCCATTGAATCAAATGGAACTTAGGGAGAAAATATCCAATGGGCCAGCTCTGGGCCATTTTAGTAGTCTAAGCCACGGGATTTCAGCCATAATGCAACACAGTTCCACCGTAGTTATTGCAAAATAAATAAATAATTTATGCTCTATTGTATATTTTTTTATGGAAGCTGCTCAGAGTGGTCAATCTGACCAGATGAGCGGGATATAAAAAATAATAATAATAATAAATAATAATAATAATAATAATAATAATAATAATAATAATAATAATAATAATAATAATAATAATAATAATAAACAACTTGCTCTTTCTAATTAGTGACTTCAAAGCTTCACCTGCTCTGCTTAAACTCTGTTACCAATCTCTACATGATTTAGTAGCTTCACTGATAGAAATCTCCTCCTCTATTGAATTCTCTGCCCTTTCTCTTTTTAAAGCCACCCAAGGCATGTCCAGTGGTGCCAAATAGCATCTGTTACCTTCCCGTCTTCCCTCCGCCTCATGGATGGGCTGTGGCCAGCTTTCAGGTCTAACTTGTCGGAGACCCTCCCAGAGAAGGCTCGGCCCAGAGGAGGCGACGTGGGAGAGAAGACCGGTGAAATGGACATGGAGTAGCTGCCGGCCACGCCTGAAGCCGCTGGAGAATGAGAAGAAACAGATCAACCAGCTTTGGAGTGGTTTTGTTTTGTTTTTTAAAAGGGATGTAACTCAAGTTTGTCCTTTCCTGTTTGTCCTTTTGACATCTCCAAACTCCCTCCAGCCCTAACGTTTACAATCCTACCCCCCCAGCCTCTGGACAGACATCTGTCGGTCCATGCATCTGATGGGGTGGGTAGCATTCTGCAGCAACTAACATTGGTGAGTTTTGGACAGGAGGTTGGGCCTGGGGCTCTTTGTTGTTTTTGCTTAAGCAGAGCATGATGCCATTTGCACTAATAAGCTAAAAAGGCTTATTTTTCTTTTAAAGGACAAAGCAGAAGCATCAAATGTTTAACGCAAGGAAGCAACACAAAACCAACAGCAAGACCCCAGTATTTGTGACCAATTTTTTTCCAGGCTCCCCGTGGATGCGGAAAACTGCAGATACAGTAATAGCAAGTACCATACATAGCATGGTAAAAGAAAAAAAAATCCAGAAAAAAGTATTTTCACCATCTATTGCCAGAACTGGACACTAGAGGGAGCCAGAGACTATATATTCTTCAACAGCAAGACTAGGTAACATAGTCTCTGGCTGCCTCTAGAGTCCTATGCCAGTAAATATATTGTGAAAATATGCATTTCTAGTTTTTTTCCTTTCAATATTTTTAATAATTTTACTCCATGAACAAGTGAAACTGAGGATATCTATCCCACAGAGACAGGGGTCTTACTGCATTACCAATTGAAACAAAACTAACCAACTAAAAGAGCAATACAAAACTACAACTTATCTGTCAAATGAGGGACTGAATATCTGACCTGAAGACTGAATATATGACCTGACTGGAGCAAAATGTACTTCCCAAGGGAAGGACTTTGGCAGATCTCTAATCAGCCCCCAAGGGACCCACTTTCGTGTCTCAGCCAACCCTCTTTTTGTGAGGGGAGCCTATTGGAGTAGGGCCTATTGGACAGCATCCATTCCCATGGCACAGTGCCATTGTTTAAAAAATTAATATTACAAGCTGTCACTTATGGCTGTATCTGAAGCTAAACCATGCTCTCTCTCTCTCTCCCCTGCCGTTATTCTCCTTTCACCTGAGCTCTGGGATGAGAACCGAGAGTCCGGGACCACCTCAGGGGACAGCCTGGCCTTCCTTCGCTGCTCCTGGAGCTCCATCTCCCTTTCCAAGGCCTCCTGGATCTCCTGGTCAATGAGGGCCGATGTCCGGGGGCGCCACGTCTTCAGGGTGTAGAGCTCTTCCCGAGCAGATCCCGGCATGGGCTGGCGCTCTTTCCTCCTGGCTTTCGGGGGTTCTGGGTCTCCAGAGAAAGAGAACTTGAGCTTCTGAACGGGAACGGCAAAATGCTCCTTCCGCACCATCGCCAGCTCCTCGGTTGGGTTTTCCGATCCTGGACGGCCTGGAAGCCCCCGGCCAGGAGGAGCCATCTGCTGATGAGCCATGGCTGACCTCCGGTTGAAAAGGGGCCTCTCCTTCCTTAGTTGTGCTTGGCCAGCCTCTGGGGCCGAAGATGGGCTGCAGGATTCAGGGCTTTGTCTCCCATTCTGGTTCTCAGTGCCACCTCCTCTGTGGTGGCTCCATGGGGCAAAATCACGACCGGCTGGGGGATCTTCACCGTCCAGGAGCTCCTGTCCCAGTCTCTTGCCTCTGCCCTGGGAAGGCGGTGGAGTCTCCACCTCTTGCTCGTAAACTTTCCGCCGTTCAGCCAGCTCTTGGTGAGTCCCCTTGTCATAGGTTCCTGGCACCCTCCCTTCCTTTTGGAGGGCTTCCTCCCGCTTGGTTTCCTGCTCAACTTCCCTCTGGATGTAAAAGGTAAACAGCGGCTTCTCCTTTCCTTTCCTGGAGGAAGCAGGGGAAGAAGAGACAGCAGCCAGGAGGAAGGAGCTGGAGGGGATCTCCACCAGCTCCTCTCGGGGGTTCACCCTGGTGATGCCCCGTTCTCTCCAGTGGTCCTCCTCCCTTTCCCGGGACAGCCGGATCTCTCGCTCGATGGGCGTCTCGTAGTCCTCTGCAGGATCAGGGCCGCCGGTCACCAGATCCAGAGGGTCTCCAGAGTGCCTTCTAGACACCCTTCCATGCTGGGGCTGTTTTCCAAAGCTGGAAGCCAGGTTTCCCCCAGCCGTGTCTGGCCTGGGTGTGGCTTGGCCATGGGATGTAGTAGGTCCTTGAGTTGGCCAGACCAGATCTGTCCTCTCCTGAGATCCCCCCAGCCTTCCCTGATTGTGGGGGTTGGCAAGGGAGGTCTCTCTCTGGGTTATGGGTCCCTGGCATTCGTCTCTTCGATAAACACTCCTCAATCCTTGTGGCCCCTGTGAAGACAGGGCTGGCGTCTGGTTCCCCAGCAGCAGCTGCCTCGGATTTGTCTTCTCCAGCTCCAGGAACTGCTGCCGGGCGGCGGCGAAGTTGATCTGCTCCGTGTCTACATTTTGGGGGTCAACCAGGGTGCGTCTCCTGCCGGGGGATGGGCTGTCAAAACACAGAGCGAACCCGTTGGAATAGCTCCGGCCAGCCTCGGCACTGTTTTTTGTACCCGGGGAGGCCCCCAATTGCTCTAGGGAGCTCCACCTTTCCCCCACGGTGGTGCTTTTCCTCACCACCTGGCTCCTGATCACCTTTTGCCTCTCTTCCTCCAGGTCTTTGTCCTTCTCACAAGAGACGTCCTCGGGAGGGATTTTATACCTCAGCTCTTCATCATCCTCGTCATAAAGCCGGGAGGGCTTCTGCTCCCCTTTGTAAGCCCGGATGTCGTAGGAAAGGCCCGACTTGACCACTGCCAGCTTGGACTCTCTACCAGGGGGTGGCGTCCAGAGGTCCCGCCTGCCGTTGAGGGCCCTTGCCACCTGCCCAGATCCATCTCCTGGGGATTCCACCATCCTCTGTCCCTTCCCAGACCGCTCGTCGTGGTCTCCAAAGTCAAGACGTTGATCCCATTTAACCTCGCTTCTCCATTTTTCTTCAACTACCACTCGTTGCCAGTTGTATTCTCCGTTGGGGAGAACTGTGTCCTGAAAGAGGCCAAGATCTCTGCTGTTTGGCTCCATCTTTCAAAAAGATGCTTTGCCTTTTCCACCACCACCAAACGGCCTCTTTTTCGTTATGGGTCTTGAGAAGGTGGCCTCCAGAGGCAGGAGGTGCTCAGGGTATCCAGTCCCCACGGGCAGCTTTTACATCAAGAGTAGCCCTGGAGGAAGGGGGGGGAAGGTCTCCATCAGTGTTTGTGTAAGAAACACACGCTCATCAAATATATACTTGGGGAGTTTCAGAAATAGCTGAAAATGCAACTGTTACAGCCCTTTATAAATTCCTATTACAGGTGCCTTTGGATCCCCACCCTATCTATCCCTAGTTTTGGCGCTAAATTAATGAAGTATAAACAAATGAGCTGCTCCTGCCCTCTGCTGGCTGAAAATTAGAATTTCAAGCCCTGTGGATCCTGGAAGGACACGTTCTCTTTTACCTAGGCTTTCCCCCCAAACCCCAAAAAACCCCTTTTTTCAAACAACTGTGCACCCTCTGTGGTCATCTAGTCTAGCCCAACCCATTGACAAAGGAGGAAACCCATGTTGGACTGGATTAAAATTTTGTCTCTCATGGTTGGGCAGAAACCAGGCCGCCTGCTTCAACCAACATCTGTGCCAGGGGCAAAGTACTCAGTCACCCCTCCACTCCACTCCACCCATGCCAGCCTTGCTGCTTCTAGACACACGCACCCTTTGGTGCCCCCACTGTTGCACAACCCCCCCTCCAAATCCAGTTTTTAAAGTTGTCACCAACTGATTGTAGAGAACGGTGCCCAAACCATGGAGATTTGGAAGGGGTGGTCTAAGAAACTGGAGCATAGGATTTCTTTGCCAAGTAGGACAGGAGGAGAATGGAAGATGTTTAAATGTTTCAAATGTTCTGAATATTTCAGGCAGATCATAGGTAGGTAGGTAGGTAGGTAGAAGCTAACCTGATCTTGTGTTGCTTAAGGTAGAGCCACAGACTTACTGAGTGAAGTTTGTTTGGCTGTTGTGAGTTTTTCGGGCTCTTTGGCCATGTTCTGAAGGTTGTTCTTCCTGAGGTTTTGCCAATAGATAGATAGATAGATAGATAGATAGATAGATAGATAGATAGATAGATAGATAGATAGATAGATAGATAGATAGATAGATAGATAGATAGATAGATAGATAGATAGATAGATAGATCTGCCTAAAATATTCAGAACATTTGAAACATTTAAACGTCTTCCACTCTCCTCCTGTCCTATTTGGTTTAATGGTACAAAATATTCAGAACATTTGAAACATTTAAATGTCTTCCACTCTCCTTCTGTCCTATTTGGTTTAATGGTACTGTTTATTTGCATTTCATTATTTCTATTTTCTGTTCTGTTCAATTTTATTTTAAGCATTTTTGTTAATACAGTATATGTCATAAACCACCCAGAGATGGGTGGTATAAAAATTAAAGAAAGAAAGGCACTAAGGGAGCAGGCATGAGAAACCAGGGCAGAACCAGGAAGGTTGGGGCGGCCGGGGGGGGGGGAGAGAAAAAAAGTGGCTTTATCGGAGTCACGGTTTCTCCGACCAAGGAGAACAAAGCAGCCCCTTGTTCAATTTTCACTTCACGGAGGGGATCCGATCTGTGCAGGGCACTCGGGTGTTGGGTTTCTCCTGCAGAAAGCCGGGCCTGTCTTGCTTCTGTTTTTCTCCACCCAAAGCAAGGTGAAGTAAGCTGTCAGACTTCAGGGCTGGGGGAAAAGCCACAGAAGTGATCTCTGAGGAAGACTCTGCATTAGCTGCCTTTGCAAGGGTCTAGTCCTCATGGAGGTGGCAACACTGTGTCTGGACTGGACTGCTACCTCCTGATCAATGAGCCCTCAGATGCAAGATTCCCTAGGAGGGAGTTTTAAGCCGAAAAAAGGCTTCAAATCTGTTGAAGAAAATCAAAGGAGTGGAACTAAATAAGTTAAGAAGGAAGCTAGGCTGGTTCACAAGCGTTTCTGTTTTCAAGGAATTCTTTTATTGGAAAAGGGGTGTCTTGCGAACTGATGTGGTGAAGTCTAGATTTAGTGCTAGTTCTCAGCGAGAACAAGGCAAAGTTCTCAGCCAGGGTGTCGGATCGCCCCATTTGCCTGCTGTTTCTGCATTTTGCACTAACAACACTTCTTTAGTGCCATTTGTAATAGAAAATAAGTGACAGATAAAAGATAAAACCACCAAATCTGAATATAAGATGATGCAAAGTGCAGAAGTAAATAAATGAAAATGGAGTCTACAGATTTCATAAGAAATAGCAGGATCTTTAGACTTTGCTCTTCTCGTCCATGCTTACTCACTGCTTCTACAGTGGTCAGCCAGTATTTTTCAAACCCTGTTCTTTAAATGCAGGAAAGAAAAAAGGAAAAGGTCTTTAAAAATATCTAGCTTCAGTTCAGGAAAAGTCTTCCAGAATCACCTGTGGCTGACCAACCGATACAGTGTTACTATATAGCTGTGTGTTTTTTTGTGTAATAGTTTCTACCATCCCCTCTTTCTTCCTTAAAACTCCTCCATGCTTAAAATGCCTGTTTCTTTCCTTCTGCTGAAAACCAAGGTTAAAGCACTTACCCTGGTGGTCCTGATCGCTTGGGTGCCGATCCCGATTCACCACAGGCAACTAGTGCGCCAAGTGCCTCTTTCAAAGCCTTCCAAAGAGGGGGGAAAGGGGGTGCTGCTTCAGATCTCCCCCTGCCCTGCCCTGCTGTCTCCTCCTCTCCCTCCTCTCCCCCCAAGGTGAAGGTGCAACAACATCTCAGGCATTCCTGCCCACGCCCTGCTGAGCCTGCTGGTATTTCCACTTCACCGAATTCCTTCAGGTGTGCTCATCCTCATCCTCGTCCTCCCACCCTCCAGGGGCACTTGTCTTTGCTGCCTGACCTTTGGCCGTGGCAGAGATAGACTTTTACGGCCTCCCTGGCCGCTTATCTCGGGCCGAGAAGTCAAAAGTCCAGTTGAGAGGCTTGCGTGGAAGGCCTGCCGGGTGTTTACCTGGGGCGGGCTGGCACTGCAGGTGAAAGTGCCCACCGCTCTGCCTCTCTGTGCTAGGTGGGTAATTTCCATGGGTGCTGGAAAGGGCAGAGAAGCACCCTCTTTAACTTCACGCTCTGCCTTCCTCCCCTAGTTGTGGGCACCCAGTTAGCATGGCGTGGCTGACCACTGCAGGAGACACACTGCCGGGATCACTGAAACCATCGCTTGGGCCCAACGGGGCTTTCCTTATGATGTCCCCCCCCCCCTTTCATAGCTCTGGCATTTCACTCTGTGCCATGTGAGGCCAGTGACGTGTCCAGCGTTATGTTGTGTCACTGGAGACCAAAACTAAGATAATCCACATTCTTGTCTTTCCAGTCACTGTGGATGGGTGTGAAAGCCAGACAGCAAAGGAAGCTGGCAAGAAAAAAAAATGGATTCGTTTGAAATGTGGTGCTGGGAGAGAGCTTTGCAGATACCCTGGACTGTCAGAAAGACCAACGAGTGGGTCCTCGATCAAATCAAGCCTGGACTCTCTCTCTCTCTGGAGGCAACTATGCTGAAGCTGAGGCTTTGGTCACATCATGAGAAAACAAAACTCACTAGAAATAAAACCCAATAATGCTGGTAAAGGTGGAAGGCAGCAGGAGAAAAGGGAGGTCAAATGTAAGATAGATCAACCTCCTAAAGGAAACCATGACTTCTGAGTTTAGAAGAGCTGGGCAAGGCTGTTGAGGACAGGATATTGTGGAGACAGTTCTTTCATGGGATCACTGTAGATTCAAGGGGGCGTTGATGGTACATTACAACACCATCATGCAAGACCCTGGCTTTGTAAAACAGGTGCTGGGGCTAACTCTCCCTTCACACCCCTCTTCAGAGTAGCTGATCTGTTTTAGGTTTTTCTCTAATGCTTTCACGACGCTTTTTTAAACACTCAGAGCACCCAGATGGGCAAATCAGCCAGTTTCCCTTTTGAATTCAGGCACCTTTAGATCCAAAACCAAACTAAAACAAACAATTCCTCAACATAAGCTAATTCCCCAGCGTCTAAATCCTTCCCTTCCAGTCCCTTCCTTCCTTTTCCTTTCCTTCGCAATATTGCACCTGAAAATGTGTGCCATGCTGCTGAACACCGAGACAAGCAGACCGGCACAACCAACGGTGCACACCTCTGACACCACCACGCCCTCACTTACCTGATCCAGCCCCAGGAGGCCTCTCTCTGGGGATGCCTCTGAAATCCATCCTTCGGGGCAGGCCAACCCAAATAGCCTGCCACTACCCAGCGTTGTTTACTTCCTGGGTGCCCAGTGCTCACAGCAAAAGCTGTTGCGGTTGTTCAGTTTCCACAACCTGAAACCAGACTGAGTCCTGGTCTCCCTTCTCACACACACACCGCCGGCCCCACGGCCACTGGCTGTGGGGCCTGCGAGGGCCCCTTGGGCTTGGGTGGTATTTGTTTCAGCTGGGTTGGTAGTTTGGAGCGCAGCTGGGGAAAGGAGGGCCTCAGAGGCCCACTCCAGGGCTGCACCAACCTGATAAGCCTTTGCCCCCCTACGCGCACCACCCTGCCTGCCCTGCGTGCGCGCGCGCGGGGGGGGAATTCCAGGAACTCAATTCACTGGAGAGCAACAGGCCTGGAGAAGTGTGCCGAGAAGCGGCAGCACCCCAGCGCCTCCGCTCGGCCACCTGGCACCAGAGAGCTGCCCGCCTTTTTTTACATCACCCCCAAAGATGCCCCAGCCAGGGTGACCTCTCTGACCCCCTGGCAACCCCTGGCTGCGGCTCCCTCACCCTTCTTTCATGTCCCCATCTGTGGAAAGGTCATTCTGAGGTTTGGGTTTATTCAGATGACATATCCCTTGGTGGGGATGAGAAACGAAACCAGGAAGAAACAGGCAGGGATTGCCAGTCGGTTCCAAAAACTGGACAGGCTGTTCGACGTGCTTATGGGAACAAGTTGCCCGTCTGGGAAGTGTGAGGTCAAAATGAAAGAGGACAGTTTCTTCCAGGACAGAAGGGGATTTTTGAGAGGTACGAAAGACACTCAGGTTTAAGCAGGTCTTTTGCTTTTAGTTTCTTCTTCTACCTCAGACTGGTGGATTTTGTCCATACTTGCGTGTGTGTGCAGACCAGTGGGTGTTTTCTGAGTTTTCTCCTGCATTTAGTGGTTTTGCTGTTTCTTAGAATCACTGAAAATCAGTTGCTTCTGGGGGCTTTTGTTAAGGAAACAGTTTAAAACTGGAGGACTAATAGGCAGGCAAACAAATAAAACATTACAGTGAGGTGGCCACGTATTATTTCGAGAGGGAATTATTTGCATCCATTCTGATGCAGTTATACCAGATAAGCTTACCCAAGCACCCTTTTCAACTGTGCTTCAATGTGGCTCAAGTAACTCTGCAGTTTCTTCCTCAAGCATGTCATAGATTTGTTTGAGAATCCATATTATTAATTACAAAGTTATTTTGCTGGGGGGGGGATGAGAGCAGTGAGAAACCTTTAAAATCTTGGTGACTAAATGTACCATTAACCCCTGGATTTTGTGGCTAAAGGCAACAGCTGGGGTGTGTGAACATGGTGTGTTTCATAAAATTCTGAATGGTATAGGGAAATAGATGTAAAAGGTTTTTCAGGGCCTCGTGTGAGATTTGGGAGAATCAGAAGAAATACCTTATTCATGCAAAGCATAGTTAGTGGATGGAAATCTCTGCCACTGGATGTGATGATGCCCTAGAAAACATTGGCATAGGATGTGCCCAGCAGGAGCCCTGATGTCATCGGTCACACACCAGTTGTGAATACTGCTACACTTGAGATAGAGATCCTACGGCATCCTATGAAACTCAGGAAAACCTCCGCAGTCTGCGATTAATGCAGCTCCTGCCACTGAACCCTTTCCCGCCCACTTGTTTCGGGCCACCCCAAGAAACATTGCTGCCTGAAGCCAAGGCTTCCACCTCTTCTTCTTCTCCTGCTGGCCCCACTCCCTCCACCAGGACCAACGGGAGCAGCAGTTAAGCCTCCCTTCTGGAGTGACAACAGGGCAGTGGTGGTAGCAGCCTCCTCTTCCTCCTCCATCATCACACCCAAACTAGTTCAGGAGTTGTGGCCTCCTCATAGCCTCTGCTCCTTCCCTTGCACTTCAGCTCTCACGCCATGTGGATCCCCCCCCGTCGCACCCCAGGGCACGGGGCAGCCTGAGGGGGGCCCCACAGGAGGGCGGTGAGCCACCCACCCACCGCACGACAGAGCCGGCCCTGCTTTCCCCATTAAAGTCAGTGCTTTGGAAACGTCACTTTTTGAGGATGGGGTTGGTCCTTCCCCCAGCTTGCAGGACGAGGGGCAGTGAAAGAGTCCTCCCACCATGGAAAGGACTGCCTCGTAAGCGAGATAACCCGTGAAGCCTCCTTCCCTTGGAGGTCTGAGGGCCATCCGTCAGAGGTGTTTGACCCGTGGGTTCCTGCCATGGCTGAAGGGCCGGACTGGATGGCCCTCGATCTGCTCCCATGCTACACGTTCAGTGCCACTGTTGTCACTCGGCTGGGGTTGGACTGGAGGATCCTCCATGGACCTTGCCACTCTACCCTGACTTCATTCTATCCTAGAGAGGGAATACTAGGCTATGTAGTCCGAAACAAGGACTCCCACAAACTCTGTCTTCAGAACTGGAACCCCTTCAGTTTCTAGGGGCCCACGCTAAGTGCCGCATACCTGGGCTTGCTGATCCAATAGCCTCCAGCTGAGTCTAGTGAGACATGCGCTGAGGTTTCTGCACAAGAGTGTCTCCATCCAGGGGGAGAGATTGAGCCCACACACACACACACACACACACACACACACCCAGCTGACTCAATACAAAGTCCATTGTTCTTCATGAAGATGCCGCACCCTTGGGAGAAAAGCTGCAGTATTTATGAGCCCATTGAAACTCGGGCAGAATCGTTCTCTCATGCCATCCCCTAAATTAGGGGCCATTTAAATAGACTGGCCATTCTTCTCTCTGTTTTTGAAGAGAGGTTGATCCCCATGAGGGCAAAACTCTCATCGGCTAACGAGATTTTGCAGCCCTGTTTTGGTGTCCAGCGATGGGAAAGAAATTTGTTTCCCTTTGTTTTTTGACAACCACGTCCCTAAAATTCAGAAACCTCTTTGGCTTCTACTTTATGGCTAATCCCAGGCAGAGTACATTCTTTGACTCACTGGCTCCAAAGCCTGTTGCAAATCGTGCTATAGCAGGCCCATCAAAATCAATGGGGACACAGCAAGTCAAGTTCTCTGGAAAAATATGTAAGGGGTCCCAGAGCATTCTTTCTAGAAACTAAAATGACCAAACTGAGGCTGACTTGCTTTGGGCACATCCCAAGATGTCAAGATTCACCAGAGAAGTCAAATCATGCCAGGGAAAGTTACAAGCAGCAGAGAAAGAGGAAGATGTGAGATTGACTGACTCAGTAAAGGAAGCCAGAGACACAGAAAACAAGTTGGCCCTGTTTTCCACATGAAGAGGGTTATCCCATCCTGTTTTTATTCATCCCAATTCCCTCGATCCTTCCTCAAAGAGAACTACTGACTCTCTTGGCCTCCTTCCCTTGGACACACTGTAGTCAGTCCCGTTAATTTTGAGTTGTTAAAAAGGGGGAAAGGAAATAACAAAAAAGTAACAAGTAACCATTGCAACAATATAAACATGTAATCTGTTACTTTTCCAGAACTAGATAGTTCTTTTCCAGAACTATCTCCTCAGGGCTTGACAAATAAAAGGTATCAAAAATAAGCACTGCAAACCTACAGGAGGAGGTGTGCGCACACGCACACACACACACAACTTCTGAAGGAACAACCACACAAGTTGTTAAGAAAACTATGTGAGAAAATGGAACTGGCTTTCAAGAGACTTGGTTTCGATTTTTTTTCAAAGTTTGGCAGGACTTTGTGGAGACAATCGGACAAGGCACAGAAGGTAAAAGGCACAAAGTGGTGGGAGGACAAGCGTTTCCATAGCATGCATAAAGAGAATGAAGCAGTCCTGCGTCCAAAGTCCAAGGAATCGGTCAAGAAGGAAGAATTTTGCAGAGAATTTCCCCCCCCCCCCGCTCCCACAAAGGGACCATCTTGGGTGGAACAGGGTCCCATCTATGGCCAGAGGAAGAAAGCAAAACCGACAACCTCCATCAGGCAGAAGCAAGGCAGAGTCTCTATCCTGCCAGATCCCAAAGCTTGCCTGTTTTTAATATTTCAGGGGTCCAGAAAAGGAGTATCACTCCTCCTTCATTTTGGATTTGATATGCGGATCAACACACGGCTTTTCCCCCTCTTGCAGGCTCTTCAAAGACTCTCTAGAGGGCACCCTTGTGTGACTTTTTTTAACCTTTTAACCCCTTGGAGAGGTGTTTTAGGTCTTGGTTTAAAATTGTTAAAACCCCTTTTCTTAAAAGCAAAACAAATGAA